ATAAAAAGGAATTAAATAACAATGGCGCAACGGTTCGATTATCTTGAAACTCTTACGCGTGACAGATAGACGACGGAGCATCGTCCCTGATTTTTTTCGCGGTGGTCGCTCGAAGGGTTCTTCGCAGAAACCACCCCTCGGAAATAAATAATTTTTAAATAAATAATTTAACACTTAATGACTGATTTAAAATTCCGAAAAGCTTTAGTTCGCAGCTTTATTTACGCTTTTACTTCATCGAAATATCTTAATTAATAACGGAGAAAATAAATGTTGAAGTTCCCCTTGGAACTTACCCTCGAAGGGTGGAGGTCTGAAATTCTGCAGAATTATAGCACAGCAAATTAATGTGTAAAAATAATAAATAATAAAATTAAATGTAATTTAATTCATCAATTAAAACACAGCAAAGAGATGAATGAATTGAAAAGTACGACAATTCGGGAACGCAGAGGGCAGAAACGATTTTCGGAGGGGTGCGGGGTTCGAGCTGGGCGCTCGAAATTCGATTAAAATAGTCGCGTCGAGTGACTCCTTTTATCAGCGCGTAATTATAACCGAACACGGGCCGGGAATGGAATTCTAATGGAGAAGAATAACATTGATAAACGGGCTGCGCGCTGACTTCCGACTCCCGAGCCAGGCCGGTCGCGGCGGTGCGCGGACATGTGCGCGCGTGTGCGCGCCGGAATAAATCGTTCGCGTAATCGAAATTGTATTCGCGTGCGTCCGTGACCGGGCATTCCGGGAATTCAATTAAATTTTCTATATCCGTGTGCACGCGCTAATCAACGGGCCTCGGCCGGCCGGCCGGCCCGCCGTTTGTTTTCTCCTCGCTCGTCCCTTTCTTCTCTTCCAATTCGAGCGCCGTTCGGCGAAAGGTCGGAGATCCAATCGGGCCGATTGCGTCACGCGTTTCTCGTCGCGATAACGCCGCCCGTTATCAATCGGCCGAGCGAAATCAGCGGAGCAGATGGTTCGGCCGCGATACGGCTCGGCGGAGTTTCGTTCCACGGTTCGCGAGCCAACAAAGCAGACGTGAAATCGTTAGTTTTCCGTGTGACGCAAATTTCTTTCGTAGTCCTGTGGCTTCGTTTCCTTCAAACGTCGTCGAACAACCTGGCTAGGCGGGCGGAAGAAGAGCGGAGAAACTAAGGGCGAACGATTTTTGATTTTGTCGAACTTTGTTCCTCGTTGAACTCTGTTCCTCGTTTGATAGACGCGACTCAACCACGACAAACATTGTCCAACCTTATTCAAACGTACGTAGACCAAGGTATACTTAGCTTGACGCATCTTAGATTCACTTAAATCTATATAGAATAATTACAGATAGTTTTAAAAGTATACCAAACTTCGTCATACTTCGTCAAATTTAGCTAGACGTAATTCAACCGCGACAAACATTGTCCAACCTTAATCAAACGTACGTAGACCAAGGTATACTTAGCTTGACGCATCTCAGATTCGCTTAAATCTAATAAAGATTAATTACAGACAGCTTTAGAGTATACCAAACTTCGTCAAATTTAGCTAGACGTGATTCAACCACGACAAACATTGTCCAATCTTATTTAAACGTGCATAGATCATGGCAGAGTTAACTTGACGTCTCTCAGATTTACTTCCATCTACACAGACTAAATCGAGACAGTTTTAAAGCCTATCAAACTACGTCATACTTCGTCAAATTTAGCTAGACGTGACTCAACCACGATAAACATTGTCCAATCTTATTTAAACCCACACAGACCAAGGCAGGCTTAACTTGACATATCTCAGATTTACTTCAATCTACATAGACTAAATATAGACTATCTTAGAGCCTACGAAAGCCCGTCATACTCCGTCGAATTTTCCTATACATGATTAAACCACGTGAAACTTTGTGGAACCTCATCCAAGCCTTTCATAAACCAATTCAGATTAAACTTGACGTATCTCAGACTTGTTCAAACTGTTTTATATCCTTTAAAACTTCGTCAAACTTCACCGAACGTAGCAAGACTTCTTTAAACCAGCATAAACCTTGTCAAATCTTATTCAATCATAATAAAATCAATCCTGACTGAATTTCCCATAACTCAGACTTACGTAAACCTAATCAAACCAGCACGGATTGAATGAAACGTGTCTCAAACTTTTATGTACACTTGATGTAAGCTTGAGCAAACTTAATCAAACTTAATCAAACCTTTCTCAAACCTGGTCAAACCTAATATATCGGACTTAGGCAGACTTAATTCTTGTACTTAATATACATGATTTTTATGATGAACATTAAAATCGGATCTGATTTGCACGTACGATTATCCGATTAGACGATTGCGTAGCATTGCACGGTGTATTTCGGCGAATGATGTGGTCACGGAGGATCGCCGTGTGCAGTCTGATCGCGGTTGCGAGTAATGAGAGCGATCGATCGACACAGTGCTATGATACCAGAAAGAGTGCGATAAGAGCGGATAATTTTAGAAATGCAGTAAGTTCTCCCTAATTGACGCTTGGATCGTAATACAAAAATGGACAATTTGGGAAGAGGAGATACGATTATATTTTATATACGATTACGTTTTTACAGTCGCCGACGATCGGTAACTATAAAAACGAGCCGCGAGACTCGAATAATCGTATTATTAATTACTATATTATTAATGATCGTATTACTAATTATTCTATTATTAATAATCCTATTATTAATTATTATGTTGTTAATAATCGTACTATCAATAATCGTATTATCTCCTCAAATTGTCTATTTTTTTTTTGTACAATCTGAGCGTCATTTGGGGAGACTTCGCTGCAATCTGAGCGTCAATTGTGGAGACTTCGCTGCAATCTGAGCGTCAATTGGGGAGACTTCGCTGTAATCCGAGACCGAATCGAATCGGAAATTCGTCGATCACTTCGAAAGAAACGATGCATAGCGGACGAAGTTAACGAGGCACGGCAAAATTCGCAACAATAGAGTCGCAGAGTCACGCGCGAGCAGGTGCGCCGTTCGCGTAGACCGACTCGCGTCGCCTCCATTGCGCAACAATCGCGAAATGCCTGCGAGACGATCGTCACCGATCCTCCACGGTTTTCTGCGTCGTCGTTTCTCGCAGGATTCGACGCGGATTCCCCCGCGGTCCGCCGTTTCCCGATGTGTAACGGACTTGAAATAACTATAACATGGTGACCATGGACCCGATCGCACGTTCTTATTGCGACGCGTGCTCGAATGCACTTTTCCGCGCGGACGTCGATAATCGCGCTGCTACTCGCGCGACGATCCACCGCGATAACGCCGCCACTCTGAAAACGATACCGAATTTTTCTCCACCCCCGTTTAACACGTGCCAGCTGGAACCACCCCTGGAGGATAACACCGCTGGCCGTAACCCTTTTAATAATTCGAATACCTTTGATACGTTGCATTGCGATCTCTTTCGCGGCTACTTCTTTTTTTGTTGTTATCATTAAGTAGAACATTAATATTGTCGTTCAGGAATTCGTATGTGAAAAGAAGAAAATTAATATCATCGTTAATATATTATATAATATAATATATTAATATATCGTTAATAAATTCTTACGTCGAGGAAAGAAAATTAATTTAAAGGAATACATTTATGTAAAAAATACGTAAATACATAGATAAAGAAAAAAAATGCATAAATACAAGAAAAATATATTTAAAAGAATTTCATACATTCCTGTATGGAAGAGAAAAAATTAACGTCTAAATTATTGTCATTAACGAATTCTCGTATGAGANAATTACTCCCGTCGTCTCGCGCGTCTTTTTTCAATGATGAAAACTCTCGTCGCCAGTGACATTAACCCTTTGCACTCGAGCGGTGACTCGAAGGCACCGCTAAAATTTGTTATATCTAAGATAATTTCTAGATTGACAATGTTTACATTTTTAAAAATTGAAATTTGTGAGTCGCGAGACTCAATTTCGCATGCGCGAAATGCACTTTGTCGTATCAATTACTCCCGATTAATTACAAATTACTCCCGTCGTCTCGCGCATCTCCTTTCAATGATAAAAACTCTCGTCGCCATCAACATTAACCCTTTGCACTCGAGTGGTGTCTCTAAAATTTGTTATATCATATTCTAAGATAATATTTACATCGACGAAGTTTACAATTTAAAAAGTTGTTAAAAATGTAACCACTTTATAAATCGCGAGACTCAGTTTCGCATGCACAGAATGCACTTTGTCGTATAAAATGAAAATACCATAAGTCAGAGAAATTATTTTCAATTTACAGTTAAAATAGCTTCGAATGTAAAGGGTTAAGTATCCCTTGCCGCGCCATTATTCTTCGTAGTTACAATGATCAAAAGTTGTTCGATCGTGATCGTTTCTCATATGAGAAAAGAAAATTTATATTTATTGTATGTCAACTTCCACATTAATGTTTGAATATCGATCGTAGAAAACTAGAATTTTAGGATCGTTTCTAACTTTGTTCATCAATTTTGTTCATTATATCATTTAAGATGCTCTTTTCACGCGTGCTTTGGCTTTTATAAACCCTTATAAAACGTTGAAAAATATCGATTTATAATCAGAAACTGAATAGTTAAGAAATTAAGTTAACAAATGTTCACCAAAAATTTGTATCGAGAATTACCGATCAAATTATTACAAAATTACTATCAAAAATAAGTTCAGAAAAATCTATACTAGACGTTATTTCTATTTCGGGTCGAAATAGAGGCGAACCGACCCGTCCGAACGTCGACGAACACTCGGAAATATTTATTCGTCAAAGTATAATTTCGAATCGCACGCGTGCACTCGATCCTCCGGATTAATTCGCGGCTGATGGATCCCCTTTCAGCGGCCGGGCATTTGCGTTTGAATAGGTCGGAGCCCAGAAACGGGCAGAGTCGCGGGCAAACGCGCGCGCCCGGTTCCTTTGACGACTCGAGCCATTGAATATTACGTTTCACGGCGGAACATTTTATTTGACCGATGGGGGTGCGTTGTGTCGTTGCAGGCACTGAAGAGCAAGAAGGATCGTCAGGATGCTGAGCAGCTTGGCAAGCTACTTACTCGGAGGCAATATCTCCGGCGCGCAAGATGCACGAGAAGGGTCCAATAACGAAACCCCGGAGTCCCTTCCAGTAATGGCGAGGTTCAGCCAGGTGGAGGTCGAGGGCGATGACTGGATCCTCATTGACCGTGCAGGTACGTCTGACCTTTGCGAACGAGGGGGGGGGGAGGGCTTTGAGGAACGTCGAAAATGTTTCCCCCTCGCGCCGTCCCCGATGTCCGAACCCAGTCGACCATGTGAAACGAGACACGTGTTTCGACGTACTTTATATGTATTTTCTCCCGGAAATGCCGAATCTCGGGTTGCTGTGAATTTCGCTGTCCTACGTCTATGTGATTTATTGCTGCGTCGATGATAAGGTTCGACGAATGGCGGCACAAAATGATCTTGTGGCCTGCGAATTGCGTTCGAATCGTGGCATGTGGCCTCCGAATTTCCTGCGAATTGTGGCAAGAATATTAGAAATAAAAGGTTATGTCATCAAAACGAGCCGCGAGGCCCGAAAAATCACGACTTAGTGTTCTCAGATCTGCCGGTTTCAATTCCGATCTGCGAGAATTTCTGGGAGAAATTACTGTACCCCCGTCCTCTCGAAAATTCGCCGAACCCGATTAAGCATCGTTTTACAAATTTTTTTTCGAATCGAAAGGCATTTTCTGCCGAATCGAGCACAACGCATGGAATTTCTCTAGAATTTTTCGTTGCGAAAACAATTTCCTTTCTTGAAAATCAATTTGATCAATTGGCACGTTTGAAAGCAGCCGGTGAAAGTCCGCTATTTTTCGAAAATGAGTTGTCTTGATCATCCTTTCGGAAAGGTTTAGAACGACTAAACAAAATAAAAAGAATGAAATAAAATCGTTAAATACTAATATCAATTTCCTTTTCTTTAATTATGATAATAATTGTGCTTTGCATTATCGATGACACTGTTGTTTTGCCAAGTAACGCAGCTGATTTGCCAAATCCCTTTGCCTCAATTTTAAAGTTTGCGGACTTCCACCGATTGGCTTCCGATTATATTATATTATATTATATTATATTACATTATATTACATTATATTACATTATATTATATTATATTATATTATATTATATTATATTATATAATATTATACAGTAATGTCTCCCTTACTGACGCTCAGATTGTCCACTAAAATGTATAATCTGGGAAGAGGAGATACGATTATTCGAGGAGCCTTGCGGCTCATTTTTATAATTGTGGACAATTTATAACTATAAAAATAAACCGCAAGGCTCGAATAATCGTATCTCCTCTTCCCAAATTGTCCATTTTTGCGGTCAACCTATGCGTGTCAATTAGAGAGACATTACTGTATTCGGTATGTTCTGTTTTATGTGTCTGCGCGAAGCGATCGACCGGCCCGCGCGGCTAGGCCGGTCCCGTTGGCCGCATTATTAACGTTTTTGTGTACTTCCAATGACAGAAGGATGTTCCAAATCGGATGTGCAATCTGATATGTTTGAACCCGCAGTTGAGGGCGCGACGGCACTGGAGGAGTCGTGGTATGTAATGCCACCCGCATGTTTCACACGGGCGGGACCCGTGACCGTAGAAACATCACCGCTGGAGGACCTGCTGATCGAGCACCCCAGCATGTCCGTCTACCGAGCTACATCTTCTCCAGTCGCTCCCGACACTCCGCCGCCCACCCCGGACACGACGGAAGACGAGGACGTCGACACCGACGACGTCGATTACGACGACTTACCTCCCCGCATGTACGCCGGTACGTCGGCAACCTCGCCGCAACGTAGCCCGACAAGAACCCAGGACAACCAAGCAGTCCTTAGATCCGCCATTCAGNAAAATAAACCGCAAGGCTCGAATAATCGTATCTCCTCTTCCCAAATTGTCCATTTTTGCGGTCAACCTATGCGTGTCAATTAGAGAGACATTACTGTATTCGGTATGTTCTGTTTTATGTGTCTGCGCGAAGCGATCGACCGGCCCGCGCGGCTAGGCCGGTCCCGTTGGCCGCATTATTAACGTTTTTGTGTACTTCCAATGACAGAAGGATGTTCCAAATCGGATGTGCAATCTGATATGTTTGAACCCGCAGTTGAGGGCGCGACGGCACTGGAGGAGTCGTGGTATGTAATGCCACCCGCATGTTTCACACGGGCGGGACCCGTGACCGTAGAAACATCACCGCTGGAGGACCTGCTGATCGAGCACCCCAGCATGTCCGTCTACCGAGCTACATCTTCTCCAGTCGCTCCCGACACTCCGCCGCCCACCCCGGACACGACGGAAGACGAGGACGTCGACACCGACGACGTCGATTACGACGACTTACCTCCCCGCATGTACGCCGGTACGTCGGCAACCTCGCCGCAACGTAGCCCGACAAGAACCCAGGACAACCAAGCAGTCCTTAGATCCGCCATTCAGGTCGAAAGACGCCAACGTGTTCGCGTTGAGAAGAGCGTACTCCTGCTTCGATCGTCGCAGAAGGTACTTTTCTCTCCTCTGTACGGTGCTGCACGGTCGCATTTACACGGCCAGCCCTTATCACGCTGGACAAGAATAGACAGACGTGCATCGATAGACTGCGGCGACCGAGAAAACCGTGAACACGCAGAGAAGAGAAATTTTATTTTCAGTAATGTTCATCGTATCTTCGTAACCCACAACGGCAACGGATAGCTGAGATTCTTTCGATCGAAATGAGCCCAAACACGGCCCGAATCGGACCGCGTTCGTCGTAGTAACTCGTTGGTACATACCGGGTGACCGAAAGAACTTGGATCGTTTTCAGTATTTTGCTCTGATCGTTCACGATCGAACGAGTATAAATGCTCGAGTATAAAAAATCGAAATGCTCTTCGGTGTGGTTAATTCTGTGTCGTTCGATAGACCTGGATCTCGGTGATTACGTCATAAGGATACGAAATATGTACGTCGATTTGAAGAAAGCATCGACGATTCGATAATCGCGAAGAGAGTACGTTCTTGAGACTAATATTCGATATTACTCTGTTCGAACTCGGACGATGTTCCAGTGTCGTGTTTTGGCTCGTTTTAGTCGGAAAAATCTCAGCTGTCCCTTAGTGATGCAATTGTAAAAAAAAGAGATGAAGATTACCGAAATTAAAATGTTGATCGTTGCATGTTTACTTTGTCCGGTCGCCCTACAGCATCGAAATAGTGTTCGCCCTGTAGCGACCCTATAGTATTCACCTAGCAGTCCCTAATTATCAAATCCCCGAAAGGAGGACAAATAACAATTGTTCGCGTTCTTCCAGGTTCTCGAAAGGAGGACTACGCAAGCGCTGAAGAGAGATCAACTCGACAGGAGCAACAAGCTCCGCGAAGTGTTCAGCATGAAGTGCAAGCGGCTCCGTCGCCAGGACCGAATGCGCATCCAGAATAGTGGCGCAAACAACAACCGGAAATGCTAGTCATTCGATCTCAGGCCAAGGTGTACTCAAGTACCTTCTTCCTAAAGCAGAGAGAAAAAAACAACACAAAACAAAAAGGAAAAAAACAAGATGATAACACACACACACATGAGACAGGACACGCACGAAAGCAAAGTAAAAAGGACAAAAAAATAAGAAAGAAAGAAAGAAGAGCGAAGAACGCGGAACTAATCTGTTTAACCCCTGACGCGTTCTTGCTCGCCGTGCGACGATATGTATCATGTTCATAGACGCGTGGAGGCGTGGTCTGGCCGACCGGTGGGCGTGGCCTAGCGAGCCCCGGAGACTCGCGCCGAATCTTCGGCGACATTTCCCGCTGGGAAACAAAGAAATTGCAAAACAGAGGCTCTCGAGTCGACCTAGATCTATTAAAAAAGGGTCCTACGTGTCTTTAGTTGCAATAAATTCTACGGTCCCCGACGCGGGGCACTTTTCAGACCCAATTTACAGGGGCTCGGTCGGGCCGCTTTAGCGTCGCCGACTCCCGAGGAACCGTCTACAGTTCGCTAGACCACGGCCACCGACCGTAGACCCAAGATCCTCCACGAGCGACGAGGCTCGAACATTATGGTGCGCGGTAGTCAGGCTCCTGGGACTCGTCTATGGTACTCTTCGATCGCGTGTATATATTTTTAGCCTCTATTTAGTATGGGCAAACTGTGTTTCTTACTCATACTCGGTAACATTTAGTTCTATTTAAGACTTCTTAGCCCAGCCCCGCCCCCACGCCCCGCCCTCTCACCGTAGCGGACAGGTGTCCAGGCGTGGCCGACGCCCTCGCTCCGGCCGCCAGCCGAGCCGGCCACGCCCCCGCGCTCCGACTGGCTGCCCGGCGGCCACCGGGGGCGTGTCCGCTCCGCAGAGAACACGATTTTTCGCACACCTTCCGGAACAATCGCAGGCTAGAAAAGAATTAATTCACTTCGGGACCACGGCTTTTCGAGGCTCTCGCTCCGCTCCGGACGTCTCGCGCGCGCGCGTGCGTGCTTCACCCGATCGTTGTTGATCCTCCAACCACAGTGCGCGGTTTCACGGTTCGAGGATCAACCTCTCCCCATCACGGCGAACGGGGAGTCTCGTTACGAAACCGCGCGACGCCCGCAATCTGCCAATCACCGACCGGCGGTCATTCAAACGCAACTGTTGTCTGTTCACGCGCGGCTCCCGGCCGGCCCCGTTGGCGGGCCACGCCGCCCAGGGGCGGTGCCGGCTCGCGTAGGCGGTACTAAGCGCGCGCCGGCAGCTCCGGGCGGGGCCGGGACGCCCCGCGGAGTTTTTATTACGCTATGCGACCGTCGAGCACACGAATTAGTGTCCGCACACACATACACAAGAGACAGAGCGACGACGCGAGATATTCAACAGACGGAGGAGAGAAAGACGGTGTTGTCTCTCTTCGATCCGACGCCGGACGAATCATTCCCACGTGGCCAGAGCGCCTCCCTTAGGATGGACCGGGGAGACCGTAAACAAAGATTCCAGCGAGAGAATCGGTTTCTATTATAGTTGAGACGCGCGTTCTAGCGCGTCGGTGTTTCAAAGCGTTTCAAAGCGTTTCCGAGGCGGCGAACTGTGCAAGCCGGCCACACGTACACGGACACACACTCGACGAGGAGAATAAGGCGAGCTCGATACGCGATTACTGTATGTCCCCTTCACGGCCGGGTGCTGGGGTCCCCTACGGACCGGAAGTTCCTCGACCGGTAATTTTAAATTAAGCTGTACCTTTTTGCTAGAAAAATCACGGTTTTAATCTGGCTGACTGAAATTTCTTCTGTGAAGAAACCAATGAAAATAAAAGAGGCTTAGGAGGTTCGGAAACAGTCCTAAGATGCTCCGGGGTGTGACGGCTGCTTCGCGAGCGGGTCAGTTCAGGGGATGAAGCACAAGTCCAAGTCTAGCTTATGTCAGAACCGAGTTCTCCTCCTTAGTATAGGATAATCTAGAACTAGGTCTTCAACGAACTAAGTTGCCCCGAGCATGAAAGATCTTGGGGATAGGCCACTCTAGCTTCGGTAGCTCTCTAGCCCTAGGACCGGGCCGCTGTCGCGCCGGGTCCTAGGTCTCTTCGGGAACCTAGAAAGCGCAGAACAACTGCAGACGTTATTAAGTGCATCCCCGTGACCGCCTCTAGCTACCCGGACCCCGGAGCCAGGCCCCCAACTTCAACCGATCCAACGAATCCAAGGCACCCCGGGCGTGCCACCCGGGGGTGTCTCTCTTCCACCTCCGAGGACCCCTGCACCCGCCCCGCAAAACCGTACATCGTCCAAGGCTAGTAGCAATAGTCGGGCCCAGGCCGGGCCTAGCGAAACTCCTGTGATTCAAACTGAATTCGTCGATTACTTGGACGATCCTCGTCTCGAGGAGAATTTTTTTGCCCGAAGCTGGACTCGTCGCGGTCCAGGACCTCCTCTAAGACACCCCAGGACCCTCGTCGCCCAGCCTTAGCCTTGACATAAACCTTCGACAGACCTGGTTCAGTAGTCCGAACTGTTTTAACCGACGGCGACCGAGGTCCTGGGTGTCCCAGTGTGTTCAGTCGCCTCCCCCGGCCATGGAAAGAAAGGCTGTTCCATGGCGTCAAAAATCTCCGTGGACCGCGACCGGGCCCCCGATCCCGTTTCCACGAGGACATCGAGCCGGAAATCTAAGTCGGGCTGCACAAAAGACTAGCTGAAAGTGAAGGATGAAATGTGATGGAGCAAATGTGTATTGTACATGTACCTATCTGTAATAATGCCACTCCCCCCCTCTCTCTCTCTCTCACTCTCTATCTCTCTCTCGTTACGGAGACACTTAGGGCTGCCAGGGGCCTAAATCTGCGTCCTGGCCGATAAATCTGCGTCGCGACCTCCACCACCCTTCTTTGGTTATGTCTTCTCCTTTCTTCGTCCCAATTCCTACCAATCTCCCTAAAATCCCTCTCTCAGTTTGATGTAAACGATGGATTGTATAAGTTGAATGTATGCTCGTACACCTTGGCCCATTATAACTGATGATTAATAAAATATTTTATGTCACTAACCCTGCGTGCTGTCGTTTAATGGCCATATACTCGTGATCTCTCTCTCTCTCTCTCTCTCTCTCTCTCTTTCTCTATTTCTTTCTATTTCTCTTTCTCTCAATTTCTATTTCTCTCTCTCTCTCTCTCTCTCTCTCTCTATTTCTCTTTCTCTCTCTCTTTATTTTTATTTCTCTTTTTCTTTATTTTTCTTTTTCTTTTCTTTTATTTTTATTTCTCTTTTTGTTTATTTTTCTTTTTCCTTTCCTTTATCTTTATCTCTCTTTTTCTTTACCTCTATTTCTCTTTTTCCCTCTCTCTCTTTCTCTCTCTTTCTCTCTCTCTCTATTTCTCTCTCCCTCTCTTTCTGTTTCTCTCTCTATTTCTCTCTCTCTCTCTCTCTCTCTCTCTCTCTCTCTCTCTCTCTCTCTCTCTCTCTCTCTCTCTCTCTCTCTCTCTCTCTCTCTCTCTCTCTCTCTCTCTCTCTCTCTCTCTCTCTCTCTCTCTCTCTCTCTCTCTCTCTCTCTCTCTCTCTCTCTCTCTCTCTCTCTCTCTCTCTCTCTCTCTCTCTCTCTCTCTCTCTCTCTCTCTCTCTCTCTCTCTCTCTCTCTCTCTCTCCCTCTCTTTCTGTTTCTCTCTCTATTTCTCTCTCTCTCTCTCTCTCTCTCTCTCTCTCTCTATTTCTCCTTACCCGCTGCAACAGTGCAACGCATTTTTGCAACGAAACGAATACAGTAATTTCCCCCTAATTCGCGCTCAGATCGCGCACAAAAATGGACAATTCCGGAAGAGGAGATACGATCAATCGAACCATGCGGCACGTTTCTTTTATAATCGTCGACAATCGGTAACTACGAACGAACGATTCGATAAGTCGGCCGAACAGTTTCAAGGCAGAAAAGACAACCCGAACTTTCCGAACAATTGCCGAATCGTACTTACAATTGGTACGTATCGTTAATATCGTCGCGCGAAAATTAGAAGCGAGAATCATTGTAACACTTGTCAGAGAGAATGGGCACAGATTAGCGAGACGTTCTGCCATGTTTCGAATGGCCTAATTGGTCAGGTATCCGCTCAGGTCGTCGTCGGATTTCTTGAAGTCCGCGATGTATCCGCAGCTGTGGACGGAGTGCGGTAGTTTGTCCTTCGGCGTGAGGACCGATCGCAGGTTGTTCTCGCAGTTCAGGTTCAAGGACACCTCCCTCATCACGCTGGTGGATCGGGTGACCTCGTAGTCAGTGTCGATTTCCCAGGGCCTGCGGCCCTTCGAGAACAACAGTTCCAGGCTGTAGATCACGCTGGCCAGCTCCTCCTCCAGTTGCGGGTCGCACGAGAACGAGACCATGCCTGGCTCGCAACCAGGGGCGCCTGCGACCACATTATACGGGACTTACGACTCAATTTTGGGACTTATCGCTCGATTTTTGGGCCTATAATTGAATTTCGGGTCTTGTAATCGAATTTTGGGGCTTGTTACTAAATTTTGGTAGCTGTGGCTTAATTTGGGGACTTACGACTTAATTTTGGGACTTGTAACTAGATTTTCGGGACTTACGGCACAATTTTGGGACCTACCGAACGGTTTTCAAGCTAGACACAATTTTATGAGACATTCAGAGACGTGCAACTGACTTTTGGATTCGTCAATAATATTTTGGGACCAGTGTAAAATTTTCCGCGGCTTCTAGAAACGCTACGAGGCCCGTAAAAAATTGTACGTTGCATTAAATTTATTCTGAGACTGTATAATAATATTGAGATCCAGGAGATAATTTCTAGGACATCGAGATACGTTATTGGGCCCATAAAAAATATTAGGAATTACAGGAAATTATTCTGTGTCACAATTTTGGGCCCAAGATTTCTATGGGTCTACAAAAAATTGCAGGGCTCGCAAAGAAATATTGCAACTTGTACGAAAATATTTCGAGACTTGTGTTACACTGTTTTGGGCCCGTAAAAAATATTTGGGACCTACGGAAATAATTATATCGTAGGATAATGGTAACCTTGGGTGTCTTGGACGGCCTCCCATCGAATCAAAGCTTCCTGCAAGGGTTTGTAAAGTTGTCTTCTGCTCGGACAACACCAGTTCGCAACTTTAGCGTTCAATTGCGCCCGATCCTCGGCGGCTAGTTGGCTCCAGCTTAGAAACAGCTGCTTCAGTCGGGGCACTGACGCAACATTCCAACGTTTATAATTATATATTATAATAATATATAATAATAATAATATATATAATAATAATATAATAATAATAATAATATATTATATAATAATATATAATAATAATAATAATAATAATAATATAATATAATATTATTATATAATATATATTATAATTATATATTATATATTTTGTTATTATGGGACGATCGTTGAATTTTCTATCGGTGCCGAATATTACGGAACACGCGACTCCCCCGACCTTTCTGTTTTTTTCAGAGGAGAGATATTCGTTCGGCGGGGACGTAAATACGATTTACGAAAAGAATGATAGTACCGCGCGCTCAAAAAAAGAAATGCTATTTTTAAGATCGACGTACGCACCTTCGGGGATCAGAACGAATATCGTGTCGCATATCTGCTCGAAGACAGACTCTTCCATCAACTCGTCGACACTGTCCCCGTTGGTAGCGGTGCTCGTGGATTTAGACTGCATCGTGTATTTTCAATTTGACCGAGCTGTCTGTCATTTTCGGCGTGAACAACGCGCGGTCAGCAGATGCAAAACAAAATGTTTTAGAAATCGTTGCGTTTCGTTCGACAGTCAACTTCTCGGCGCTCCTACAAAAGCGATTCCTTCGATTTTACCATATTTCTCTCACTATTATTTTCGCGCCCTTAATAAAATGGTTTGTTATTATTATTATTATTATTCAATCTTTTCAACTTACGATATTTTCAGTAAGTTTAGAACAGAGGACCATGGAATCGCAGTTTATTTATTTATAGAATTTGTTATTTAAAAATTGCCCTTGAAAATATTTTTTGAACATTCGCAGCTTTAATTATTCAATTTTTTAAACTTACGATATTTTCAATAAGTTTGGAACACGACCATCGAACCATAGTTTATTTATTTATTAATAAAATGATACCTTGTCGTTGTTTAAAAATTGCAGGAACCATTTCTGAGCCTTTCAAAATATTTTTTGAACATTCGCAGCTTTAGTTATTCAATTTTTTAAACTTACGATATTTTCAATAAGTTTGAAACACAACCACAGTTTATTTATTTATTAATAACATGATACTTCGTTGTTATATTAAAATTGCAGGAAGCATTTCTGAGCTCTTAAAAGTATTTTAAACATTCACGGCATAAAATTACACAATTTCCTCAACTTTTGTTACTCGCCATAATTTTAGAACAGAACCATGGACCCATGGGGTTCGTGTCCAATATCACAGGATTCCAAGATGGAGGACAAAGGCTGCCTGAGTTCCGAGCTCGAATCGATTATCGACGAATTTTCAAGAATACGAGATGTCTGGCTAAGAACTAACGTTTTATAAACATTGTTTGCATGCTTCCGATCACTTTGACCAGAGAATTGTTGCAATTCGATGACAATTTACAGGCATACGTATCGCTGAAGGCGTACAGCGACGTCCAGGGAGAGAGTTTAATGATGGAGAGACAGTCTTTGAATAAAATGAAGGAGAATTTCGAGAAATTGTCGCAAAGCTATGCGCTTCTCGAGAAGCGATATAAATCGATGATGGATGAGTTTAATACGGAAAAGCAGAATATGCAGGGAACGATCCAGGAACTCCGTGAGCAATGCGACCATTTGCGACTGGTTGTCATAGACCGTAATGGCGACGACGGTCAAGGTAACCGATCACCTAATTTGTCCAGAGAATCGATACTGTCTGCATTTTTATTTTACGTTGACGCATGTTTTATAAAATAATGAACTATTGTTGAATAGATTAAATTCATTATAAAATGGTAACACAGTATAATTAAATGAATTAAATGAATTATGAAATGATAATATAACAATTAAACAGATTAAATTAATTATAAAATGATACCATAATAATCAAATAAATTAAATTAATTATGAAACGATAATATAACAATTAAGTAGATTAAGTTAATTATGAAATGATAACGTAATATAAGCAAATAAATTAAATTAATTATGAAATATAACAGTTGAACAGATTAAATTAATTATAAAATGATAACGTGATAATTAAACAGATTGAAATAACTATAAAATGATGACAAAGTAATTAAATAGATCCGATAATTAAATAACGATTTTATTAAATTTTTAGTGTGCAATTTAGAGAACGAAATCACAGCCTTGAAAGCAGAGTTGGTAGCTCAGGCTGCGAAGCACAAGGAAGAAATTGCTATTCTAAAGCAGGCACACTCTGACGAGCTACTCAGATACCATGTGCTGTTGCAGAATGCCAAACTGGAGGCTGCATCGGTATTAAAACATTCATAATTCTTCGTAATAATCGCTGTGTCATTAATCACTAATGGTTCCTATTTAATTGTAGGATGAAAACAAGAAACAGAAACGCCAAAGGAAACCGGGAAATAATGAGAAGGAGAATGTGAACGGCTTCAGGTAGCATACTTTTCTGATCTTAAAAAAGTAGTTCCTTTTTTTGCTGACCAATTGGAATACTAATCAATGCGTGTGTGTCCCAAGGTGGCCAGAATTGTCTATAGAGAGAATCAGCACGGCCCCGAGAATCGTTGATGTAAAAGAAGTACACTTCGAAAATGTTGGAACTAAAAAGAGAAGATTGTATCGCGAGAACGACGAGGATGCGGTCAGCTTGGTTTAATCGGAAACGAAACGAAACAAGGACAGGCTGTGTCGACAAACGTGTGTTTGGTCCATATAAAATGTATAATTAATAAGTAATTCAGTTTTGTACAAATATAAGTAATTCACTCTTGTTCATACCTCGATGAAACTAGCAACATTTTTTGGTTCGATTTCGACTTTCTTAAGTAGAGTATGTTACATTGGGTAATCGAGCATTTTCTCCGCGGAACAGTCACGGAATCATTTACTGATCTTGCGATTCAGCGAGTTCCAACTGTTCGTGTAATCTATCTTCAGGTGTCCGTACGTGTTCAAGTCGAGGTGCGGGGGTGGTACTATTTGCACCATCGAATGGTAATCTGCTTCCGAACGACGCGCGGCGTCTGCAAACAATTAATGATAACCGACAATTAATGGCACATTTATGACAGCAATTGTTTTACCTAAAAATTTGTATTCGAATTTAAATTTATGGTAGCTGAGCTTACCTGTTTGTATGGGGGTTGCAGGGGGTACCTGGAGATCGACGAGATCGGATCTAGACGCATAACATTGGATCGTTATTAATTATTCATTAATCTTATTTAATTTTAGACAGAATATATTATAGGAATAGTATATACGAATATAAATAATAGTTTACAGCATATAGAGAATTGATAATTTGGTCTCAAGATGTGTCTAATAATTTTATGTATTAGATCTGTATCGTAGATTGCCATAATTATTAATAGTAACGATTTTTTCTACATAAGTTTATATCTGAACATTTAAAAACAGCGCTATTTTGTACAGGGTCCGTACAGCGACAATTTATCCAGTGCCAAACTATAGAAGAGATTCCCAGCTACACGTTGATAGTAATTTGTTACGTATTCGAGTTCGAATTAATTAGTTATTAACGATTTTCTGTTTTATGTTCCAATAGTCAATATTCCAGCAAATGATTCGTGCCGCTCTTCCCATAAGAACCGATGCTAAATCCGGCACGAATTTACTGCTGCTACTAAACTACCGAATAGCGCCACTTTTGTGCAGCGGCAAAACGCTCAAACTGTTCGCCAAAATTACCGACTACAGGGTTCACGGTTCTGCCACCGGTGGCGCCACCAGGTTTACGTAGAAACTTTTAATGTGGCGCCATCGGTGTCGGAATCGTGAACCCTGTAGTCGGTAACTTTGGCGAACAGTTTGAGCGTTTTGCCGCTGCATAAAAGTGGCGCTATTCGGCTGTTTAGTAGCAGCAGTAAATTCGTGCCGGATTTAGCATTGGTTCTTATGGGAAGCGCGGCACGAATCATTTGCTGGAATATTGACTATTGGAACATAAAACAGAAAATCGTTAATAACTAATTAATTCGAACTCGAATACGTAAAAAATTACTATCAACGTGTAGCTGGGAATCTCTTCTATAGTTTCAATGACCAAAATACAAATTCTATAATCGAAATTCTATCCTAATTTCAATAATGCTTATACCTTACCTGTGGAGGTCCCTCATCGACGTGGATTTACACCTGTGCCTGAAGCGTCTGTGGTCCTCCATAAACTCGCCACCATGCCTTATCTCTAGAGAGCCAAAATTCACCATAAATATTGTTAAATTTCACACCATAAATATGATTAAATTTCATACCGCGAATATTATTAAAAATAATGTCAATTTTCTTGCAATTTAAAGGAAAGACAAGCTTCTGCGTTTTGAATTGCTTCCGACAATCGTTCACGATGCGAAAAAATTTAGTGAACGTGTCTTCGGGATATTAAAAAGATATTAATGTCTTCATGAATTCATGATTGACCAGAGGCTAATTATCGAGAAAGTAGTATCGGACAGCCAATGGCCAGACACCTAATTTACTTTCTCCGTTGTTTATCCTCAGTTAATCGGGATCTCATCGTGTAGTTCACGCTTGAGTAATCCCCTGATTAATATTATAGAAACGCAGCAGACTGCGCCGCGTCTAACAAGCTTGGCTCTAATCGCCCGATGGATTGGACACCCACAGACGCCTTCGGTCTCTCGTGGCGTCAACCTTGAACGGTCCTCGTTCACGATTCGGAACGAGGACGAGGAAACTGTAGCTGCGCAGTGCAGAAACAGGCCAGATCTTTAAAAAAAAATTGCTCGGCAGAGCAATACATTTTTGATTACCAAAATTATTGGAATCGTTGAAACTAAAATTTTTGTTAAAAAAAATATATTAGAATTATTAACGATAGCACAGAATTCTCGATTGGATAAGAGGCTGGTAACAAGGCAGACGCGATAACGACGGACTAGAAAATAAAACTGGCCGGGCAAACGAGAGACGCGTAAATTACGTCCAGCCATTTGCAATGGAAATTACGAGGCGGCTGCCTATCGATGGAATTAAAAGAGGAAAGTGTTCTGCGACTATTCGGCCGTCTATGCGTGATTTGACGTGCCCAGGAGAAAGCGGGGACGACTCGAAAGCCGTTCGAAGTAATGAACACGCGCGTCGAGCATCAAATCGCGCGCGTAACATCTGCGCGACATCGGGCGCGAAAACGCGCGGGACATTCGACTTTCTAGGCCGCGATTTCTATCGCGGCCGGCCCTGGCGTTGCCGCGTGACAAACGGCGAAACGTCGCGACGACGATTTCCCGCGAAATCGATTCGTTCCTACCTGTCACCGCGCGATTATTTTCTGCGTTTTTTGCGACCGTCGCGTTGCCCAAGAAGCATTAGCTGGCCTGCCTTTTCGAGACGCTTGTCCGTTTCGAGAAACGCTCGCGGAACAAGAACGGATTAGCTAATCCGAATCATTCAATAAACTCTCACGTGATCCGGAAAGGGTGCTCGGAAATTGAGAAAAGTACCTGAAATTTAAAATCACGTGAGGCAGATGTCCAGCGGTACCCGAAAGTTCTCAGTGGTACCTAACATTTGGAAAAGGTGCCTTGAAGTGTGAACTGGTACCTGAGACTTAGAAAGCGTAACCGAAAAATTGCCGCGGCACCCATAAGTTAGGAAAAGTGCCTGAGATGTCGTGGCGGTACCTGATACATATAACTGTCACCAGAAAGTTTGCAGTGATGGCTAAAACTGCGAGAATGTACCAGAAAGTTCGTACTGGTACATAAAACCTCGAAATTGTAGCAGAAAGTTCGTGGTGGTACCTAAAACTTCGAAAATGCATCGGGAAGTTTGTAATGGTACCTGGAACGTGAAGAAGCGTACCCAAAAGTTTGTAGCGGTACCTTCAACTTAAACATTGTGCTCGAAACAGGGGAAAGTATCTGATATTGAGAAAATAGCGGACAAAAGTACCTAAAATTGTAAAGAAATTTGAAAGCGAAACAAGTACCTTCGTACTTTAAACTTAGAAATGGTACCCGAAACAGCAAAAAGCACCCAAAACTGAGAAAGTATACGAGACAGAAAAGAGCCTAAAATCGAATAAGTATCCAAGAGTTAAAATAGTACCTTAGTATTAGTACCTTAATACTTTAAACTCAGAAATGATACCTGAAACAGAAAGATGTACCTAAAACTGAAAAAGTACCTGGGCCAGAAAAATACCTAAAATTGAGAGAGTGTCCAAAAGTGAAACAAATACCTTAGTACCAGTACCTTAAACTTGGAAATGATACCTGAAACAGAAAGATGTACCTAAAACCGCGAAAGTACCCGAAACAGAAAAATATCTAAAATTGAAAATGTGTCTAAAAGTGAGACGAGTACCTCAGTCTTGGTACCAGAAACTTAGAAGCGAGTGTCTTAGGACTGGTACCAGATACAGTAAATTCTCTCCAATTGTCCCTCAGCCTCGCGGCCCACTATTGTGCACAATTAGGGAGCGTCTATTCGGAAGGATTTTCTGTTGCACTTGGAAACGGTGCCCGAGACTTCTGAGCGTCGCTTCCGTCCCGGTTCGGACGGAAGTGACCAGACCAATTAAATCCGACCGGCGCGTGCAGGTACCGGCGATGCAACTGCATCGGGATTGCATAACGTTCTCGTAGGGTTTTCCCATGCAAGGCACACGCGGGGGAGGCGTGCGCGCGTAATCGTGTCGCCGCGTGCAAGAATATCAATTAACGCGGTCGAGCCATTGAGGAGAAAACGCGCTCGACTGGCACATTGTGGCTTTTGGTCACGAACGGCCTAGCAAACCGGTTCCGTGCGGGTCGTCGACGTCTCGGATTAAGGAGAGACCGGCGTTACATCAGATCATCCTATCCGATGCGACGTGTTTTGTCACCTGTCCGACCTGGCGGAGCGTCGGTGTGGTCGCACGATCTTCTCCAAAATTTCTAGCCCCGAGGCGTCGGCTAATTTCTCTTCCCGGATCCACGATCGCCTCGGGAAATTAGCGAATAATGCTCGACGGACGCTCGTTGCCGGTAGAATTATTTTTATATCTTTTCCTTATCGCAATCAATCGCGATCTTCGCGAACAATTTATTATAGCAATTTATGTTTACTCATTTTTCTAGCGAACTCGCCGCTTCGACGTCCAAAAAATAAACTCAAGTCGCGTGACTCGAACATCTTAAAGAAAGCCGTTCAATTTCGAAGGGCGCGCGCGAACTTTTTCCACCGAGTGTACCGAAGTTACGCGAAGATCCCCTATAAAGGAAGTTCTTGCAGAAGTCGTCGCTCGCGAGGAAAATCCAGTGAACTGAATATTGACCAGGTGAAAGCGTAATAGAGAATCCATATCACGGTCTTCTGATCACGTATCCGATCGAAATAATTATACCCGTGCGCGAACATTCGTCTATAATTAGAAATTCAAATTCCATTGTTCCCGCGGAACTTATGCAAAACGGATTGCAGCATTGTTATCCGCACTTTTCCGACTGTTTTCTGGCGATTACCGATTTTCGGAAACGTCTACAAGCGGTCAGAGTTTCCCGCGGACGACATCAGGTTTATAAACAACCTTCCAAAAATGTAAGTCCTTGAAACGAGCGATCCCCGAGACCGTTTGAAGCAACTTTTCCCTTTGCGGAATTCTTCTCCGCGGCTTCGTTAACGAGTTACGATCGAATAAACGCGCGCCAATCGGGCAGCGAGTACAGCCGACGCCCCGCCCTCGCGGCCAATGCTCTATCGAGCTCGCTGTCGCGCCGCCCACTCGTACGTTTTTCGTTAATAACTCGTTAACGATGCCACCTGGAACGTTTCCGCCGAGGGAAAAACTGCTTCGAATAAAACGAGGAATCGGCCCTTTCCAAGGATTCGCTGTACTTTTCGGGCCACCTTGTAGAAGCCTCGATAGGACGTCTAACGAAGAGGAAAGCAGTTAATCTTACCAGAGAGAGGCGCGTAGACCGGAAACGGTGCGACGTAATCCGGCACCTCGTCCTCGTAGATCGGCTGCTGATAGTAGCAACTATTGTTCGCTGGCCTAGGTGGTCCACAATACAATTCTTCCACGAAAGCTGGTGCGTCGTAGCCCGGTTCTCTCACCGAGGATGAATACCTACAATGTTCCCCCTTATTCCAGTTCTTTCCCATCGCTTGTTCAACGTGAAATTGTTATTTAACGTGGAAAACAGTATGGTTGCCCTTGGACTCCCCGTTTCGCCCAACACTAATTACTTGAGAGAGTTTCCAAAAGCTATAATATTTATATCATATTATTCTCATTGTTCCGCGTTATGTCGTGTTATATTGTGTTATGGTGCTGGCGTTACATTACATGTACGTAGTGTAATATTACGAGAATAATATTCATATTTTAATAAATAGTGATGTATTGTATGAATGATGTTGATATATTAATAAATATTGATATATTATAAGA